CCTTGAAAGTGGTGTAATTTGGTTTTTCTCAAGTTAAGGCTATTGTAATGTTAAGAGTTTGCAGAGGGAAATTTGCAGCAAGGTACATTCTAGTGCAGGTTAATTTGTGGAAATTGATTTTAGTGTCCCCCCAGAGGTCTCTTGGAACTGCGTACAGTCACAATGAGAGTTTCCTATTCGCCTACTTATTCTTGAGCCAAAGAATTCACTTAAGCTGAATTTACTGAGGTTTGTTAAATCTCTAAAGTGCTTTGAAGAATAATGCTATACAACTACTGAGTAATTCTAGAGAGCTAGTCAGTAAGCTCTGTGCCTCGAGACATAAACTGTACTTGAGTTCTTCTTAAGTAATTAAAAAAACAAACAGTACAATTAAGCTCTTTCCATTACTCACGTGTATTCAAACAGGTTGAAAAAACTTGAAGTGGTAGCAGACATTTTTAAGGCATTCTTTTTACTCTCTGTGCATACGTAGAGCTATGAGGAAGAAGCTCACTCACAGAAATAATGTTTATATTTAGTTTCAAACACTTGGGGCCTCTCACGCTTACCTCCCACAGGAGTGAGTTCTGGCTGAAAGCTCTGTCTCCAGGGCTCCTGAGTCTCCGTCTAGTAGCTGACATTTTCACTGTTTGCAGTGGAACCATAGCTGTATTGGGAGGTCATGGCCATGCCCATGGAAAGAGAGGCAGTCTTTCCAGTAGCTAGGGCTTGAATTGGACTCTGCTTTCAGTGAGGAGCTAGTGCAGACAGCAGAGGAGAGAGGTGGACATGGCAACAAAGTGGACACTTATTGTGTACCAACTAGAGTTTTGGGTGTGAGGTTTCATTCCTAGATGCAACAAGTTGCAGTAATCAAGTCTGGAAATCACAGATGAATGGACTGCTTTGGCCACATCTGTGTCTTTTAGGTTGACGTACGGGCTTCTGACCAGCTGCAGGCAGAATTGGATATTTATTGCAACGGTGGCTATTTGAGTGTCCAGAAGTATTGAGAAGTCAGCATCCAAACTACGCCCTGAGCATGTGAACCAATTTTTATGAAGAGTTGGCTGAAGCCTCTGTAGAGGAGATGTTCTAAAGGAAGCAAATTTTTCTAAGTCTTTCCCTCTTTCTTGTCTGCATTCAGCTTTAGCCAGCTGGTCTTCATACATGCTGATCTCTTCCAGGATGGTAGTGTTGGCATCAGTCATTAGAGAGAGAGGTGGGTGTCATGTGTGTTGCTGAGATTTGGGCCCTTGTCTCAGCATCTCCCTCAGTGGCTTCATATACTTGAGTAGGATAGGAGAGCAGACTGAATGTTGTGGAACACCACCTATGCAGGCTTTTGGAGAAGAGGAACACTTGCCTGTCCCGCCCCTTTAGGTTGTGTTTCATCAGGCATAAAGTGAAACAGCCTGCCTCTCAAAGCAGGATGGGGAATTTCACAGCTAATGGCACCAGGAAGTGATTGGGTGGAATATCATCAATATCACCCGTCACTTAGCTGTCAAGTGGGTGTTTTAATAGGAGAACTGCCAGATCTAGAAAGGAAAACAACATCTGAGGCTTTTTGAATTGCAGCTGGGCTCAGCAGCCTCCTGATTCTTTTCACTGGGTTGAGTCAGCAGGAGTGCAGCACCACACTCAGATTTTCTAAATCTAATAATTATACAAAAAACCTTGTTATAGCTGCAGGAGGCAAAGCTTTAATGTAAGCAAGTTGCTCCAAGAAGAAAAGAAGCATCTAGGAAGTTGGTAAAGAATGAATTACATTGGTAAATGGATGAAAGTGGTTCCCAATTTCTAATTTTCATTCCATCACTAATTAACTTTTTCAAAATTATACACTTTTTCGGCCTGATTCTCATTCACACAAAGACTCAAATGATGCTCTGATGGTGTAAACAAGCCATACAGGTGCGCACAAATTATACTTATACTCACTTGAATATTAAGGTTAAAAACCATAAGAGCTATAACAATGGAGATACTGGGAGTATACTGAGTATCTTAATATTCTGCATCCACTTGAGGGCACCATCATACTGCTTATAACATAGTTTTTGCGTAGGATAATAGCTTGTAACATTGAATAATTCTCATTGTAACATAAAAGTAATAATTTAGGAATAGCAGATGCTCTGTTGGTTAATTTGCCCCCATCATGTTTAATAACACCTGTTTCTAAACCATGTTTGCATCCTCCCAGGTTATGTGTCTTCCCTAGCCCCACAGCAAAAGAGGTCAAACACTCTAAGTTACATTATCAGCCTGATGTAAGCACCCATGGTAGCTTCTGTTAGTGGGCATTGTGTGTGAAAACACACACAAACGGAGAGACTTAAAAAAAACAACTATGGGCTCAGTGGCATGTTATGTGTAACTCTCTGGAGGCCAGGGAAGAACATGGGTTAATAAAAATGGTTGAAACTAGTTATGTCAAGAACAAGAAAATTGGAGTCCTCTAGGACAAAAACAAAAGTTGCTGCTCCTGGGCATGGTTTGAAAGACTGCAGGATTACTGGCCACCCTACATCATAATATCAGGAGGCTGGGCCTTCTCTGCATCAAGGCTCAATGACTCTAGAATATTCTCTCTCACACACAACATGTCTCTGGAATTTGTGCTTGGAACGGACCTGTCTGTCCAACAAACAACCTCTTGCACAGCACTGAAAATAGCAGGGGCCTGAGTATATTTTGTATATTTCATTAGCTGAATTAAAAAGTGAGTCTGTTGGAAAAGAGGGTCATATCGGTTCAGGTGTCAAATAATCTACAGTCTACCAGGCGTTGTGCAGATAGTGTGGCTATAGATGATGGAGGAAGAGTCTCCAGTGGGTAAATGGCATCAGCCTAGGTTAGTAGGTTTGTTTAAATTTGACACAATTCTGAGTTTTCTGACTCGGTGCTTCAGTACTGGGGTAGCAGGGGGAGGGGAGCTTTCCAATCTAGTCAGTGAAAAATGAGTCTAATTAAATCAAAGTGGGTGAAGGAAATGGCTGACTGCCATGAGGAATGTCAGCCTCAAAAATGCCACACGGAAGCTGTCCAGAGACTCTTTCTGAGGCGTTCCCTATCCGAAGCCAGCTCCCACTGAAGCAGGAGTGGAAGGTGCGTGCTGCCAGCAAGAAGATCAAAGGAGCTGTTACCTTGATGAAGTTGGCAAGTGCCACATGCTTTGGTGTGGCACACAGAACACTTGCATTTCTTCTTTCAAAAGACAGGGATGCTCTAGGCCTGTCAGCACAGGTGCCCTCCCAAACATGTAATGCTTTATCAGACAGCCTACAGGGTAATACAAAAGATCTGAGCAGGTCAAGGTAAGCTTAGGGTCACAGAGCTGGCTTGTAGCTGGGTGATGTGGCAAGGGATAGCGAGTCGGAAGATTAGAGGTTCCATTCCCCTCTCTAACAATGACTCAGCAAGTGATCTTGAATAAAGCACTTGACCTCCAAGGTTCAGCTTCCCCATTTTATAGTGGACTGAATGACATCCAGTTTTGATTTTGTGATCTTAAAGCACTATATGGAAACAATACTATATAAATCCTAGGTATTGTTTATTGTATATTAAGATTGACTAATAGGCTTTTGTAACAGGATCAGCTGTTTGCAGCGTTCACTAAATACTCTGTCATGCTTCATGTAGATCGAATAGCTCTTGCTAGAGGTAACAGGATCAGCTGTTTGCAGCGTTCACTAAGTACTCTGTCATGCTTCATATAGATTGAATAGTTCTTGTTAGACGGCCTCGCTATTAATCAATACCAATTAATTCCGTAACTCTACTGCTAGACCAGCCTATTCATATGTCTGAGATGTATTGCTATTCCAAATTCAGTGTGGTGCAAAGAGATTTTGTCAAAATAAAGAGCATCCAGATATTCAAAGATTACTTATTCAGAGGGCATGAGGCTCAGAGCCACTGTCTCTGGCCAACCTAACAAGTATCACTAGCTTGTACCTAGGCTGCCTAATGGGGTACACTACTTGAAACCCAACAGCATTTCAGCAACTCTTCAAAGCATGCCCAGGCAAACAATAACTCCTGACCCCCTTATTCTCAGCCTTGTTCCAATCCTGCTCCTCCCTTGGCCTTGTCTCAAACCAGGTAATCCAGTTCTGACCCTTAGCTGTGACTCTGGACTTCTGGAGATGGAGGCTGAATAGTCAATGTTTTTAAAGTTCGCTGGGATGTTAAGGACCCATCTTTGGTGAGTACAGATGGATTGTTTCTGGTATTGTTGCATTTCTGTGGCTTCTGTCCAAATTAAATCCAAACTTCTAGTCTATACCCTCAGTGATCTGTACAACTTAATTCTCACCTACTTCTCTGCTTCCGTCTGCATTCCCCTCTTGCCCTGTTGCCACATCCATGCCAATCTCGCTGCTCCTTTGTGACTTCTCCTCCACTACTGTCCACACCAGACTTCCCTTCACAACATCCTATAAATCTCGAATTCTGGCTCATTTCATCATGTTCCCATACTCTCCTTAACTCACTCTTCCAAATGGCCTACATGGTTAGCCTTACTGACTTTCATAGGCTTCAAGGCCAGAAGGAAGAAACCATGGTAATCTAATCTGATTTCCTGTAGAACATAGGCCATAGAAAATCCCCAGAATAATTCCTAAAGTTTATCTTCTAGAAAAATAATCTATATTGATTTTACATATGGTCGGTGATGGACATTCTACCACCACCTGTGATAAATTGTTCCAATGGTTAATTACTCTCACTGTTCAAAATTTACTCCTTCTTTCTAGCCTTTGGATCATGTTATGCCTTAGTCTGCTTGACTGAAAAGCTCATTATTAGTATTTGTTTCCTGTATGGAATTATGGACTGTATGTAATCAAGTCATCCCTGGACTTTCTCTGTGTTAAGCTAAATAAGTAGAGCTCTTCATGTTTACCACTCATAAGGCTTGTGTTGTAATCTTTTAATTATTCTTGTGGCTGTTCTCTGAACCCTTTGAAGAATTATTTTATCAACATCCTTCTGGAATGGAGAGCATGAGAACTGGACACAGTGTTCCAGCAGTGTTTGAATCAGTGCATCTTCACGCAGTCACCAAAGCTATCAACTTTGAAGCTTTAGGTATGAATCCTTCTGAGGCCGAGATTTTGCTTCTGCTGAGGAGCTGTCTAAAATCTGTTCTCTGTGTCCTACCCTATGATGCATGACTGTGCTGACCAACATCCAACTTGGTCCCATCTTTTCCTTTGTGTGCTTATTTTTATTTTGGATAGGAATGCAGCACTCAGTAAAGCAACTGGGTAATAGTACTGGCTGATGCCAGAAATAGTGTAGATAAAGAATGATGTAAGATTTCCCTTAGGGCTTTGTAAATGTATTTCAGTGAGGAACATATCACCCATTCTCTTGTTTTGTGCTGTTTGTGAATGAAGATGGACAAATTATTACTATCTGGATTGCACCTTTGGAGAGAGATTCAGTAAACAGTGGATTAATCACAATCTGCCTATTTTGTTATCAAGGAAAACTACCCTATGCCTCCTGATGGGCCCAATCCATGTAGGGAGGAGCTTTTCCTACACCTGAGTAGGATTAGTGGGATTAAAGTTAAGTATGTGCATAAATGCTTTGTTGTACTGAGGTCTTGTTTCACACAATTCTTGATTTTTTTTTGAAAAATATATTGTTCAGATACAGAATAAGTGGATTTTAGTTGTGGACAAGTATTAAATAGTGCCAAATTGTGTGGTAATTATGTGATAGGACTTAAATTTTACTTGTAATCTAAGTGCTAGTGGGTGACTTAGTTTTGGTTTATAAAATCAGAATATTCAGTTCACACTTGTTCCTGTTGAATCCTAATTAAACGTTAACTATATTACTCTGCTGTACGTTGTCTGGTCTCTTATCATTTGTTCCCTATCACTTACTTTACTTGCTTTAATTTTGCAGGAGAACTATAAACTCAATGTGTATATAATTCCCTGTCCTTGGATTTTACAATTACTGCATAGTTTATTGGTTTTACCTTTCACGTCAGTTAGAACTAAAATAATGAACTGTAATCTTGGCCAGATAAAGCACAGGCAAGTGTTTGTGCCCACATGCATTAGGAATGTGGTGAATTCTCTGTTCATCTTCAATTTGTACATAAATCCAGAGATTCTGAAGGTTATTCGCATTTGCCTCATGGTTTAAGGGAGAAACACAATCTTGAAGTCTCACCACTATTGCATTGCCTCATGTTTCAAAGATATTCATTTATTTTTCCAACACTGATACAGCAGTTATTTTTTGTATTTCTAGCACAACACATATAAACAATTAACTTGTCACTCTTCTAATGTATGGAGACACAGGCTGTTTCTACGTAACATTGTCATCTTATTTAAAGTAAATAAAAAAATACATCTAGAGCTAAGGCTGCACTCTGCACTCAGTCTGCTCCTTAATACTAGGAATGTTCAGAAGGTATGGAAAACATTAACCCTAGAGCTATATTAGGGCATATGGGCCTAAAATATTATATTATTTATTTGTGTTGTATTGGGATATCACCTAATGAACCCAAACAGGATCAAGTTTTAATTGTGGTAAGTGCCGTACAAATATTTATTAAGAGATGGTTTCTGGACTAGAGAGTAGATAACTCTAATTTGAGACAATACAACAAATGAGTATGTAAAACAAAAGTCAGAGAAGGGGAGGCAAGAGAGAGGGTAACATACCTAAGAATAATTGACTAGGTAACTATTGCATAGATTGATGGTTCCGGGACATGCATACATTTTATGAAATTTTAAAACCACAATATTTGCTCTTCGCAGATGATACTCAACCTAACCTTCATATGTTTTCTGGTAAGCATCAAAGCAAGCATTTAACAGGAATGTTTTGTTCTCTAGAAAGATTTATTTTGCTAGTAAAAAAAAAATTATCTGGATTTATTTCTTCCTCAAGCATTTAACAGGAATGTTTTGTTCTCTAAAAAGATTTATTTTGCTAGTTAAAAAAAAAATGATCTGGATTTATTTCTTCCTCAGTCCCAATTAAAACTCTCAGGTGTTTCTTAATCCAGCCAGAAAATGTTTATTCCCATAGTAAAATATTCTCAGGCTTTTATTATTATTTCTCCAGTTTTCCCTTTTCTCTCAATCACACCTGTTAAATTCATGCCTCTGAATCTATGTGCAGCACAGTGCACAAAGGACCTAGCCTTCACCACGCTTTCTCCTTTTGCAGTCACTAATAAAGTAGTTGCGTGACTGACTAGGTGTCACATTTTGAATTATTTTATGATGTTTATTACAAATGGCATATGAGTAGTAAACTAGGAACCATTGTAAGTCCTTATCTTGTTGATGAGTGCTACTGCTCTGATGGAAGTCATTAAGTTGTTTCATGTCAGTCAGTGCACATGATGTATTTTTGCAAAGCATCTTTATAGTATTTGTCAAAGTTGAGTTTAACGTTCCACAGTCCTTGCTGCCCCAGTAATGTGAGTATAAAAAATTGGTGGTGGAGGGGCTATATTTTATTGTTCTGCTCTTACTGCTTCTTGATCTATGCTTTTGTGTTTTGAGACCCTTAAATCTACAATCTGTAATGTCAAATCCTATAAGCTTCCATGCAAATATCAATTTTGCAATGATGATATATTTTCCAACAAGGTCTAATTTACTGAGCATGTTTTAGTGGTCTATTAAGAGGAGAGATGATCAGAAAACTGAAATTATTCCTCCATGCAATTTCAAAGGAAAAAACTGTTAGACTTTCCTTACAAAAAAATATTTTTTTCTTCAGTAAGTTTCAAGCTAACAAAAATGAGAAAAATAAAAATTTCAGAACAAAGACATTTTACTTGACTTGGTTTTGCTTCAGTTTAAAAAACAAAAGTACATGTTAAGTCAAAATTAAATGAAAATTTTCCCCTGGGGAAAATGGAATATTTTTTGTGTTGAAATTACTTTTTCCATGGGAAAATGTCTAAGAAACTAAATTGTATTTTTTAGAGGGGAAAAACCTTCCACACAAGTTTGACCATTTAAGTTAATAGCAACAAAGCTCAACATTACACACACAAATATCTCTGAGGGTAACTGTGTTATATTGCTCTGCGGCTTTGCTCTGCTTTGCTCTGCTCTGCAGACCAGGGGGACGGGGAGCAAAGCAGAGCAAAGCCACGGAGCACGCTGGCAG